TCCTTAATCAACTATTTATTTTTCGTCGCGTTTAAACATAAAGGTTATATTATTAGTAATAGTTATCGAAAAAAAAAACACAAGAATCACTAAAGAAATAAAGCAAGAAATGATACAAAAACTACCAAATAAACAATGCAACAACTCCTGAAGAAATGACGCAAGAACTCCTGAAGAAATAACACAAGAACCAATGAAGAAATGACGCAAGAATCACTGAAGAAATGATGCAAGAACTTCTGAAGAAACAACGCAACAACCCCGAAGAAATGACGCAAGAAACGCTAAAGAATATAACTAATAAACCAACTAACAAACTGTTAAATAGCAAAAGAATAGAATACCTTTAATTCGATGATGAAACAAGACTTACTGAAATGCACCACATGACGTCAAGATATGCACATGAACAACGCCAAAGCACCATATAAACGTCAATACAAACATGTAAAAAAGATCTATAAAAAAAAAAATCAAAAAACATTAGTACTATAGTAAGAAAACGTCGAAAAAAAAATAAAATAAATGTGATCTATATGATCGCCAATCTAATTACATAACCATATGACTGTGGGAGAGGGACAGTCATGTTGATTGACGATTCTGCTCCGCTTTAGACGTCCCCTATATTTGGTTTGTTTACAAAACGATCTGTGCTGTTTTCATGATTTTTTCAAATTTCTATAAATAATCCCTTTTTATCTTCTTTTTTGAACTGTATAACGAATTCTAAGCGCAATGAACGGGGAACTATATCTGATATTAAATTAAAAACAGACGTAAGAGTATTTATAATTAGTTAACTGCAGGTTTTAATTTTAGCTATTTTCAAAAAATGATGAAATAGAAGGATATATGTGGTTGAACTTTGTGGCTCAACCAACTGAACGCTCGTTAGCATACTTTTTGATTACCCTTTGTTTGTAGAGATGACTCTGGGCCCTATAGCTCTGTCATTAATACCCTTTTTCGTTTTAGGATAGAGATGGCCCTTAGCCTTATAGCTACGCCATCGAGCATTTTTTATTTCCCTTAGATGACACTGGGCCTTACGGCTCTGTCATCAATCGTTATTTTTTAGATAGATAGAGGATGACCTTTAGCCTTATAGCTATGTCATCCACCTTTATTTGTCGCTAGTTAATGATGGAGCCTTATGCTTTATCAACACCCTGCTAATTGAGCGTAAATTTATCCTTAGAATTTCTGATTTTTTTTTTTTTAATTTTTTTTTTTCGATAATTTTGATAATTATTATTAATAATATAATAATATAATCTTTATGTTTAAGTGTGACAAAAAATAATCGGTCGATTAAGGACATGAACGAGAGAACTATTTCTGATATATTAAATTAAAAAGTGAACGTAAGTAAGTATTTATTCTTAGTGTTTCTGATTTTTTTGATTTTTTTTTAATAATTTTGATAACTATTACTAATAATATCTGATATAGTCTTTGTTTAAACACGACGAAAAATAATCAGTCCATTAAGAACATGAATGAGAGAACTATTTATGATATATTAAATTAAAAAACGAATCTAAGAAAGTATTTATCCTTAATGTTTCTGATTTTCTTTTTGATTTTTTTTTTTCGATAATTTTGATAATTATTATTAATAATATAATAATATAATCTTTATGTTTAAGCACGACGAAAAATAATCGGTCGATTAAAGACATGAATGGGAGAACTATTTCTGAAATATTAAATTAAAAAGTGAACGTAAGAAAGTATTTATTCTTAGTGTTTCTTATTTTTTTGATTTTTTTTTTTTTGATAATTTTGATAACTATTACTAATAATATAATCTTTTATGCTTAAACGCGATGAAAAATAATCGGTCGATTAGGACATGAATGGAAGAACTATTTCTGATAATTAAAAAATGAATATAAGAAAGCATTTATCCTTAGAGTTTCTGATTTTTTTTTTTGATAATTTTGATAACTATTACTAATAATATAATCTTTTATGTTTAAACATGATGAAAAAATAATCAGTCGATTAAGGACATGAATGAGAGGACTATTTCTGATAACTGGAAAGTTTGTAATTAGTTAATTACAGGTCAGTAAATGTTCTTAATTTTAGTTATTTCAAAAAAAAAAAAAGAGAAAAATGATGAAATAAAAGAATATATGTGGTCAACTAAATGCTCTTTAGCATAATTTTTTGATTACCCTTCGTTTGTAGAGATGACTCTGGGCCCTACAGCTCTGTCATCGATGCCCTTTTTCGTTTTAGAATAGAGATGGCCCTTAGCCTTATAGCTACGGCATCGAGTATTTTTTTATTCCCCTTAGATGACACTGGGCCTTACGGCTCTGTCATCAATCATTATTTTTTAGATAGGTAGAGGATGACCCTTAGCCTTATAGCTACGTCATCCACCTTTATTTATCGCTAGTTAATGATGGAGCCTTATGCTTCATTAACACCCTGCTAATTGAGCGTAAATTTATCCTTAGAGTTTCTGATTTTTTTTTAATTTTTTTTTCCAATAATTTTGATAACTATTACTAATAATATAATCTTTATGTTTAAACGCGACAAAAAATAATCGGTCGATTAAGGATAAACGGGAGAACTATTTCTGATAATTAGAAATCGAACGCAAGAAAGTTTATAATTAGCGTAAATTTATTCTTAGAGTTTCTGATTTTTTTTTGATTTTTTTTTCGATAACTATTACTAATAATATAACCTTTATGTTTAAACGCGACGAAAAATAAATAGTTGATTAAGGA